GTCCAGCTAAAGTGGCTATCACTAAAGACTGCTCTACTTCTAGCAGTCTGCTCAGCAAGGAGAATTGGGGAGCTGCACGCCTTATCTGTCCATCAGGAGTGCTGTAAGCTGCTTCCAGGGAATGCTGGAGTTATCCTGCGGCCTAACCCTGCCTTCCTTCCAAAAGTCCTCTCCGAGGCAAATCTGAACCAAACCATCGAGCTCAGCCCATTGCCTCCCACTCAGGAAGAGGACGGAACTGGGCATCAGGCCTCGACCCTATGCCCTGTCAGAGCACTGTTGTGTTATATGAAGTGCACAAACTCACTTGGTGCGCAAGACAAGACCAGCGTGTTTGTATGCCTTCCAAGAGGGAGCCGCTTGGGCCGAAGCCGCTGTCAAATCAAGACTGTCCAGATGGGGTTGTAGAGGCCCATCCAAACCAGGCCTACCGAAACCAGGCGGGGGCCAAGCTCTACCCAGGCCTCGTGCTCACCCATCGGTTACGGTTTGTAACCTTTGTTCTCTGAGTGAAGAGGACTATCTTCTTCCAACCCTACCATATTCGCATATGTATGGGGAATCGACCTACTGATCGTTGGCAACGTGGATTACTCTTTAAAGACATTAACGGTTTGTACCCGGCCACGGCCCCTTGATTTTAGGTGTTGTATAAAACCCACCTGTGCTGCGTTGGGACTAGTGCTTTCATATTTGTCGACACACGCCTGCCGGAGCGGCCCTCTGGTGGATCCAAGCACAAGTTGCAGATAGATAGATAGGATTAAGATAGATAGATAGATAGATAATAGATGAACTATTTACACTATTTACAACCCCCTAGGCCTGATTGGTACTGCCAGACGCAAGTGCTTTCCCTGCTTAAAAAGCCCACTGGCAAGACGCCAAATCGGGGGCCCCACCAACCCCCGCAAGACGCAAGGGTGTAGTGGGAAGGGTGAAGAAACCCAGATACCCGCCAGACGCAAGGCTACATGGAGTTGAACAAAAAGATAAACTGGGCCCCTTGGGCCTTCAATATTGGAAAGCAAGAGTAACAAGAACACAAAAATAAACTCCTTTCAGGGCCGGGTTGCGCGGGGCTTAGCACCTGCCTCTCCGAAAGACGACTAGCTGCTATGTTACATTTGAATAGTTATTTCCACAAGTTTGAGGGCTTTGACCAAGGTGGCCCGCTTTGCAGATTCTCCTGTAAAGAAGCACCTCGCCATAGTTGCCCATGAGGTTGCCCATGCCCCTT